GGGAGGCTGCCCTGTGTGTCCCTTTCCTGTGTGCTCGCTCAGGCAGCCCTTACCAGGCCTCCTTTAGGGGGAGTTACCGCCCATTTTACAGATGAAAAAACCGAGCCTTGAGACTTTCCCATTTATCCTAGTTCACCCAGCTAGCCTGGTGGAGTTGAGATTTGCACTCCCGTGGGTTTGATTTCAACACCCGTATTTCTACAACATTCCGTGGACTCGCTTGGGCCCGCCAATGTCTCAGAGCCTCAGTTTCCCCAGATGTGAAGTGGGAACAATTTTATTAGCGACCTTAGACACACATTGTGAGAATTAGGTGAGGGCTTTGGAAAACGCTACCCAGTGTTGTTTTTTTAATGGTTATGATTATGAAGTGGGGTCTCCAGGGGTCCCAGGAAACTGCTCTGCTCTGTGGAATGGTAACTGATCATATGACCTTATTGCAACCTCAGGAAAGCCCTTCCGGAGTAGGCACCTGTAAGCTCTGCAGCGAGCGGGGCTGGCCGGGCCCCTCCCCACTCTGGCATCCTACCATGAGCCTGGGACCCCACAACTGGCCATTACTTCTGTGTTTGGATTCCTTAGAACCCCATGAGGGTGTCCTGGGGAGGAGGAGAGTCAGACAAATCACAGAATGTTCAGGGAGGCCCTTCAAGACGATCTGGTTGAAAATCCAACCCGATCGCAATACACAAGTGGAAGCCGAGGCCCAGACAGGGACAGGAACTTGCCCAAGATCACACAGCTGGTTAGCGACAGAGCTGGGGCATCCAGGCAGCTGTTAGGGCTCTCCCTGTGGGGCTCAGGATTTGTCGATTGCGTTCACTTCCCAGCTTCTCCAGCACGGCAGCTCAAGGCCCTGGCACAGGAGCTGGGAAGGACCCTGGGAAGGTCCCTGCAGGGGCAGAAGGGGAGGCAGCAAGGTCAGGAGGGTTTGGGGAGGGGAGGGAGGTCCAGGCACTGTTTTCTGAAAACCACTGGATACGGGAGCTGATGATATAATCTGGGGGCTCCCCAAACTGGCCAAGGGCCCCAGGACGCCCACCTGTAGCAAGCCAGGAGTCTTCTGTGTTTGGGTTCCTGTTTATAAATGAGCTCCCTGGGCTCCCAAAGCGCTTATCGTGGCCGAGCCCCTCCAGGAGGAGCAGGTCCCACTGTCCCCAGCAAAGGGGTTGGTCCCGGCCCCTTTCCCGGCCTCCATGTCTTTGGTTGACCAGCGTCCTCTTTGCTCACCGCCACCGTGGACCCCATAACAAACACACGGGGCCCAGGCCTGGAAGATCTATTAGTGGCACTCCTGTCACCGCCCGCAGAGCAGGAGGAGAGGCAGCCAAATGCTGTGCTAATTATTCTAGCTTCCAGCAGGGTCTCGGAGGTCCCAGCCATGGTAAATCTTAACTTTCATGCTATGGTGCACCGGGATGCAATTTACTTCAAAGAGAGCATAAATCCCCACTGCGGCGTGTATCAGAGGAGTGTTACATAAAAGTGGCCCATGTGCTTCCCACCCGGGCTGCCTTCGCTCCCCCCTCCCCTCCCCTCCCCTCCCCTCCCTCCCCCCCCTTCCTTGTAAGTTTGAAAAAGCCAGCCCGCGGTTGGCTACACATCTCGCACGCAAAAACATTTATACACACGTCTGCTCCCAGCCTTATAAATCACCAGGCTTGGCGACTTGGCAGTGGGAACACAGGCGAGCTCTATTTTTACCAGCACAGGCCGCAGACAGCCCCCCGGGGCCCCGCCTTTCCTAACAGCGACACCTCCTGGAGCCAGCTCCGGCCAAAGGCAGCCTTTCGGCTTTGGACCCATTTCTCAGGCTTTGGAAGATGGTCACTGACCCTGGCCCGGTCCTTCCCTCCGTTCCCATCTCTCAGCAGCCCACCCCCCCACCCCCGCCCCCAAGGCATCTGGGGAATTCCTCCAGCAACAAAGGCCCCCTAGGAGGCCCCGCCCCTGCGTCCCTGGCCCCAGGCGGGCTTGCCAGAGGGGCAGGCGGGCATCGCTGACGTCATGGTGATCTTCCACACAGGCTAGCACAGCTCATTAGGGTGTCAAGTGATCATGGGAATCGGGGAGGGGGCTGCCTATCCGTCTCCCCTCCCATCCCCCCAAAGTGAGGCCCCCATCCCTCCCACGCAACCCCCCGGGGGGGGGGCTGTCCAGTTGTGTTTCGAGCAATTACTTCCCCGTGAAAGACATCTGTTATCTCGGCTGACACACACGGGATGGGCGGCCCGTGTGGTCGGGGCGCGGGCCTTGTGAATCCTGGCATTGTCATCCCGGCCCCGGCTGGGAGCCAGGCGGGGTGGCAGGGGGTGCAGTGAGACAGAGGCCGGTCTGTCTCCTGTCCCCCGGCCCCCGCCCGGGGCCTCCTCCGTGCGACCTCTCCGGAGGCGGCCGTGCCAGGTCTAATGCCCCTAATGTCATCCTCGCAGATCCGTTCCTGATTCCTCGAGGCCGTCCTTCCCGTGGCTTCGCTCCCCTTGCAGCTGCCGCCGGTAGCTGGTAGCTGGTAGCCAGGCGGGCCGCAGGCTGCACAGATGGGGGGCCCCCCTCCGAACCGGCAGCCCGGGGGAGGGCTCTGCGGGCGGCTGCGGGGGAGCACGACCCTCCCTCCCGGCGGGCCCAGAGCTGCCCAGAGGCCCCCCCTCACCAGTCACACACTGGTGACCCCTCTGAGCCTTGGTTCCCTCAGCCCCAGCAAGGAGGGGGCTGCGTGGGGGGTGGCTTCCCTGAGCCAGGAGCTCCCTGCCAGCCCGGACGTGGGATCCCTCCTCTGTGACCCATGTCAACACTGTATAAACGTCAGGTGTTTTTCAGAGGCCCCGGGCAAACTACCAGGATGGACTGGAGTGGAGAACAAGCACTCGGACCCGTGTCTGGCCAAGACCTCAGGCCGTCACCTCAGCTAGGCTATGGCTTTCTATTTCATCATCTCCTTTCTCCGGACAGAAACCCTGGGAAGGAGTCCCTGCCTCACCCAACCTGCATTCAGGCTTTGAGGGTGGGAAGAGAAGAAAGAAGCGAACTGGCTTTGTGCCTCCCACTAACCAGGCGCCCCCACTCCCCCCAACGCCTGGCCTGCCCCCCTCTCTCCCCACACCCTCTACAACGGCCACCACGTTAGCGGCACCCAGAATGGGGCTGTCACTTGGCTCATCCTTTTCCATCGACTTTGGAAGAAAAAGGTCAGGGAGAGGGTCTGAGAGATCTTCATAGACCCTCAGAAATGAGAGAAAAGAGTTAGGCACCAAAGAAAGACAACCCGCAGTCGGGTGCCTCCCCTCCCCTCCCCTCGCTGCCCCTCCCCTGGCCCCCCCCCCCCGCCGACCCCGTCCCCATCCCAGGCACGGCTCTAAGGCCGCTGAGTCTGACCAGGGAGAAGTCTGCCCTAGTGTTTCAGTGGTACTGAACACCTGGCTGAAGGTGGACGTGGGGGCCGTCTGGAAGTCAGCCCCGTGGGGGTTTTGAAATATGGCAGCAAATTCTTTGATACTTTTCCAACCCGGCCCCTCCCCTTGTATCCGGCTGGGCCTGTGACTGCTTCAGGCCGAAAGCACACTACAAGAGTGATGCCATGTGACTTCTAAGACTGGATCCAAAAAGGCCGCGCAGGTTCTGTCTTCTCTGCTGGAACAACGGCACTTGGCCCTCCACGCTGCTGTGTGAGAAGCCTGAGTGCTGGCTGCCATGTTGGGAGGAAACCCAATCCGCACCGAGAGGCTACACGTGGATGGGATGATCCACACTCCTGGCCGAGCCCAGCCTTCAAGTCATTTGAGCCCAAGCACCAGGCCTGTGAGTGAAGGAGCTTCGGGATGATTCTAGCCCCCAGCTATGGGGTCACCCCTTGGCCATGCAAGTCTCCCCAAGTGAGACCCTAGACATTGTGGAGCAGAGTCAAGCCACCCGAGGTCTGCCCCTGTCTGGATTTCTGACCCACCGAATCCAGGAGCATACTAAAATATTTGTTGTTTATACCAGGAAGGTGGGGTGGTTTGTTAAACAGAAAGAGTTAACAGGAACAGCTTTCTCAGCCCAGGGTCCTACCTGACGTCCAGCCTAATGTATGAAGACACGGACACCTGTTTTCCATAAAGGAAGTAGGAAGTTTTCTAAAAGCCTGAGAATGGCACTGGGCCAAAGGATCTGCTGTGTGGACTGCACACTTAGCCCGGCCGCAGAATTACGCCCAGTTCCAGAGGCAGGCCTGGTGGTGTTACCTCCGGATTAGTCTCTGTGTTTGCAGGAGACCCGGGAGTCCGTGACTTCCTTGGGGCTGGTCACGTCTCATTTCATTTCCTGTGTGGCCCCAGAGCTTTCTGGCTGCCACTGGGAGGAAGGATGAAAGATGTCCTGACCCTCTTCTCGTCCCCTGGTTTGTAACTTGGGCCTAAGGAGGATGGCCCTTGGGCAGAAGGGGAAATGAGAGCGTGTGAACACATGAGAGTGAGAGCAAACACACGTCTTTTTGTGGTTTCTCTATCAAAGGGCAGAGGCCAAATTCCCACCCAGGCACCAAGAATGCCACCTGCCACTGTGACGTACATAGGCCTTAGTGACCACTCTCTAGTTTCACGAAGCCGGGAGGCAGGGCGGCACTTGGCTGCCTATAACCAGAATCAGGCTGCGGGGCTCTGCGTCCTCCAATTTGCAGGGGAATCGGACCTACTTTCTCCATCCTCTGCAACCCTCAAAAGCCTGATGATGCATTCAATATTTAAGTGCATCGTGGGCTGTCCCACGATGCATTTAAGCAGTTGCTGGATTGTATCATCATGCAGCGGGGTAGTCTGGCTCAATTTTACATATAAAACTCAGTCGGTGACAAATTCCCATTTGCTACCTGGTCCCTGACCATAGCAAGCCCTGTGTTTGATCCCCAAAGTGCTCGGGAGCCTGGAACGATGAATCGTTTGCCACAGAGCGAGAGATCACAACCTTGACTCAAAAACACAAATCTTCTTCTTTTTTTTTTTTTAAGATTTTATTTATTTATTTGAGAGAGAGAGAATGAGAGACAGAGAGCACGAGAGGGAGGAGGGCAGAGGGAGAAGCAGACTCCCTGCTGAGCAGGGAGCCCGATGCGGGACTCGATCCAGGGACTCCAGGATCATGACCTGAGCCGAAGGCAGTTGCTTAACCAACTGAGCCACCCAGGCGCCCCCAAAACACAAATCTTCTTAAGCTTCTTTTGGCTTGCCGTCCATTGTAACGTGGCGGTCCTCATCTTCGAAGGGACATATCTTGGCTAAGTGGTCCACTTGACCATGAGCAAGAACCCAATAAGCCACTAAAAGTTTGATCGGTTGGGATAAAGATTTAGAAATGAGACTCCGGAGAGGAGGACAGGGACAATTCAACTTCCCGGAAAGACTGCAAGGTCTTAGGGAGGAGGAGAACTCTAAGTAAACATGTTTCTGTCTCGGTGGCCCAGGGGGGTTGGGGGGGGGGGGCAAGGGGTGGGGTTTGGGCCTGTAAATGACTGATGTCATTTCCGGTACCCATCCTCCTCCCTCGTGTCCTAGGAAGCAGCCACCTGTCTTCCAGCTGTCTGGGACTGTCTGCTGGAGCAAGTGACATCACGGTGACCAGAACCCACTTCCCCTTTGTCTGGAGCAGTTATGATGTCATTCTCTCTGGCAGAGAAGCAGGATGTTGGCAGTTTGGACTCCTCTGGGTCCTCCTGAAGTGATAATTGCCTTAGATTTTGTTATAAAGTGCAGCTGCTAATTATCTTGTTAAATCACAGCCATATACTTTTTGGATTTTTTTTTTTTCTTTGCAATCCATTTAAACAGTCTGGGACATTAAATAGAGCCACACACCCTAAACAAAAACAAAAACACAACCCAGACGCACGCACAAAAATCGCTGCTTCTTTCCAACACCGTAAAAATAATCTAAAAAAAAAAAAAACACCGAAAAGGGCTCAGATATGGCATAATTAGATTGCTTCCATTAAAAAGTCATCATTTCAACATCCTCATATAAATATCTGCATCCCATTGCATATTTTAAGCAATTGCATAATAAGCCCCCAAGTGAAAAAGAGCAAAACTCATTTCCTGACCACAAAAGGAGAAAGGAATCACTATGTGCTCTGAGTTCCAAGGAGAACTGGATTACATTCCTCCCACACAGACTGGAGGGAGATGGAGTTCAGTGCTCCAGGCGAGAGAATTATGACAACACTTAACCGCTGTGACCCACACTGCTCCGTGCCTCTCCACGCCATTGGCCATTAGAAGCATGCAGCTCCCACTGAGGTCAGAGGGAGGAAGGGGGGGCCTGGGCCCCTCCGTTTGGAAACCCTGCCCTGGGTTCCAGCATCAACAGGTGAATGAACATCAGTCGCGGCCTGAGCATCTCTGTCATTTCTCTTGATCGGCCGTTTCAGGCTTCTGATTTGCGTGGTGCTGCTGGAAGTTTGCCAAGCGGGACCGGAGGAAGAGGCCGGGTGTGGGCACCACCCTCATATGTATCCACCATCTTACTTCCCCTTTGCCCTCGTGAGCGATGCCCGGCTTGTCCCCTACTCTCTGACGCTGCAAAGGTAGCTATGATGGACAGCTTCAGTCGTGCCCTGCCTTGAGCCATACAGGAGTTTCTCTGGGGTGAAGACCTGGGGGATTTCTAGGTCATTCATAAAGTTTGCACAGATTTCACTCCTCTAAGCATCACCAGATGCTCCTCCAGAATGGTGGTATCACCTTGCAGTCCCACCAGCAGTGCGCAAGAGTCCCCATTTCCCCATATCTTCTACAACACTGGCTTTTATTCACTTTTGTAAGTTTTGCCAATGTCTTAGGTGTGAAGTGATGCTGATGGACTTTGCATTTCTTTAGTAACTCATGGGGGTTGATTATCTCTTCATTTTCATTAGGGGTTCCCTATCTATGAATTGCTTACCTATATTATTGGACCTTTCTCCCCTCCACTGCGTTTTCCTGTTTTATTTTTTAAAGTATCCTTTAAGAGTTTCTTATCTGTTTTGGTAACAGCGAGCACAGACAAATACCTTAAAGAAGACCACACATGAAGATAACTATGACAATCTATAACTTGATTATTGTTTATGTTTCCCCTTAAACGTCTGGTTCATTTCTTACTTTTTACAATAAAAAAAATCAAGCAGAATGGTTTTGAAGCAAATGAGCCAAAAAAAACCCAACAAAAACCAAGCGTACTTTCAGTTCCTTGTCTACTTTTGTCAATAGACTGGAGGAGCAGGAAGAGAAGTTGAAGGATGGAAAGGTAGATTAAAAGGACGGAAAGAAAAAACCAAAAAAGTCTCGAGGAGGAATTCGGGAAGAGAAAGAGACAATGATTAGGGAAGGAACCAGACAGAGACAGTGAGAGAGAGGAGTAGAAATGAAGAGGAGGGGGAGGAGAGAGAGAAAAATGTAGAAAAAGACAAAATAAAATAGATGCACAAAGACAGACATCCAGAGAGAGAAAATTTTGAATGGGTTTTGAGCCTGCTCTGAACCACTCTGCCCTGCCAACTTATCTCACCATCTCCTTGGCCTTGGACTCCTTCTAGATCTTCTCTCCAACGTGCTCCGGTGTGATGAACCCAGAGGAACCCATTTCTCGCCCAGGAGCTGTTGCGGGCTGGATCTGACTTGGTCTACACAAAGTTCAGGGCTCTGACGCCACTGTTTCCAGTTCCTTCTGTCTCCTGTCTAGGGCTTTACCACTTCTGGCCTGTGAGTCTCCAGCGGGTGTCGGGAAGGAACTTGCTCCCTAACCAGACTGCGAACACCCCTTGGCTGGCCGCCCTACCTCTCCCTGGGGCTTGCAGCACCGTCCACGTCCATTAACACTTGCAGAGCGGATGAGCCAAGGCGTCCTGCCATCAACCTTCTCAGCACACATCCCACCGCGCTGACCCTCCGGCAGCCAACCTCTCAACTTCTCCGGGACGTTTCTCCTGCAGTGGCTTCTCAGAGCACCAACTTTTCAGCTAAGTACTAAGGGCCCCGTTGTCTCGCCGTATCCATACCAAGTCTGTGGAATGCTGATGGGAAGGCAAATGGTGCGGAGTCCGTGTTTCACGCGGACGCGTTTCAGACCTCACAAATGATCCGAGCAAGGGAGAGTGTGGTCCCCGCGGGCAGGCGTGGCACGCGTTTGGAAGGCAGTCCACATTCCAGCAGAACATTTGTGTCACAGGTACCTCTGCCAAGGGAAATAAGGCAGTTTTATGCTTTTGATAAGATGTGCGCAGGATGCCTGCTGGGAGGGTCTCGGGGCTCTGTGGAGCCTTGGCCAAAGATGGAAGCCCTGGAAAAGCACAGAACGTTTCCCTGGTGTTTGTTAAATGGCATGGGCGGGGAGCGCTTGTGTTTCTCCCAAAGTGTGGGATCACGCGTCACAGTTGCACATTCTAGAAACTGGGCGGGGGGGGGGGGGAAGGGGGAAGTGGGGAAAGTCCATAGAGCTCACAGCAGTGGCCCCTGACACTTCCTAAATCAAGTTGCTTTCTCGCGTGAGTCCAACAATGTATTGCGAATATCAGGCTGGCCTCTTTCATGAGCACTGCATGGTAACTGAGACACTTAAAGGTAGGCAACACCACTTCTGGCAAGTCCTGATATGATGCTTTTTCCGGCTATTTCAGAACTGAGTGAATGAGTGATGCAACAGGGTAGTTGGAGTTTGCTTCTTGTTGCCCTGTGGAGCAAAACCAGGGTGGTGAGGCAGCCAGAGTTCAGCGAGCCTGTGGTTTGTAGTGACGGGGGCAGTGTTCTTTTTTCTTTGTAATTAAACTGTGCAAGGCTCTACTCCCTCATTTTGGATCAGGACAGTTTTGCTTTTTTTTTTTTTTTTTTTACTTATTTATTTGAGAGCACAAGCAGTAGGCAGAGGCAGAAGGAGAGGGAGAAGCAAGCTCCCCACCGAGCAGGGAACCCGATGCGGGGCTCGATCCCAGGACCCTGGGATCATGACCCGAGCTGAAGGCAGATGCTTAACCGACTGAGCCACTCAGGCGTCCCCAGATCAGGAAAGTTTAATAGTTTAATTCTTCTCCCCTTTGCTTCCCGCGCCCCACCCCCCCACCAATTCTGGATTTCTTTCTTTTTTTTTTTAATTTTTCCAGCAAAGAGTTGAAATGACACCCAACTACAGGGACAGGGTTTTTGTCTTAGGAGGGGTATGAAGGAAGGGCAGGGCCCCCCGGGGAGTGACAACTCCATCCGTCCACCAGCTACTAAGTGTCAATAGGGTCTTGTCTTGTCCTCAATACCGTGGGGTAGGGAGCAGTGTCATCGAAGATGTGCTTTCCGTGCTCCAACATCTGGTAGTCTAGGAGGGGAGGCCTTCACCTCAGAGAGCCATGGTGGAAAAGAAGTCAAGACAGGACCCTATAGTCTCTGTTTCAGAACATCTAGACCTGTGGCTGTGGGAGTTGACTTGGGGGCAGAGGGGTAAGGAAGGCCTCCTGCAGGAGCTGTGAGGTGTGCAGGAGGGGCTTGCCTTGAAGGGTTGAAATGGGTCAGGGGAGAGTGGAGCTGTCTGACAGAGAAGCATCGCAGCAGGGAGGAACCGAATGCATTTTCAAAGTCTGCCCGACTACCTGTGTCCATATCACTTGACTACCAAGAGTCTTGCCCCCTCCAAAACCTACTAGGGTAGATTGTTTGCAAAGATGGCTGCAACAAATCCTTCCACCTCCCAGGAGCCCATGCAAAGTGACTTTGCTTCTCCTTCCATCAAGACACAGAGTTTATTTCCCCTTGTGATTTGCTTTGACCAAAGAAGGTGGTGGAAGTGACCCTGGGGGACTTCTTTTTTTTTTTTTTTAAAGATTTTATTTATTTATTTGAGAGAGAGAATGAGAGACAGAGAGCATGAGAGGGAGGAGGGTCAGAGGGAGAAGCAGACTCCCTGCCGAGCAGGGAGCCCGATGCGGGACTCGATCCCGGGACTCCAGGATCATGACCTGAGCTGAAGGCAGTCGCTTAACCAACTGAGCCACCCAGGCGCCCACCCTGGGGGACTTCTAACACTAGACCAGGAAGCTTGAACTTTCCCCCTCTCTGGGTGTCCTGAGACCACCATGATGTGAAGAAGCCCAATATGGCTAACTGGAGGGTAAGAGGCCATGTGGGCATGGGGACTGGGGCACTCCAGCCAACAGCCAGCACCAAGTTCTAGACATGTGAATGAGGTCACTTTGGACCCTTTAATCCCAGTGGGCCCATCATGTGGCAGCAGCAGCATGAAGGAGCCCCTGTGAGACCAGCAGATGAACCATGGGAGATACTGAATTGTTGTTTCAAGCTGCTAAGTTCTTAGGTGCTTTGTTACACAGCAGATCTAACAGCAACACTTACTGAATCAGAATTTTTAGGAATGTCTGGCATCCATTCCCTCTTTGCCCTGAAATAGCACGCTGATTTCTTTCTCAGGGAACAGTCCCTCCTCTACTCTAAGTGGTCTCCAGGGGGCTGACAGTCATTGTGTCCCCAGGCTGCCATCCTCCGACCCAGTCACCCAGAGCATTCTATTCTAGAGTCATAGTAATTGGTTGAGGGATTCCCAGATGGAGTAAACTGGGCCACTTGGCCGCTGCCCTGAGATTTGTAATGTGAATGCTATAGGAGACTTTCTCATCCGCTGGGATCTCAAGCTGTAAAGGCCACAAAATCCTCAGGCCAACAAGTCCAACTTGCCACTACACACAAAACCAGGACAGAAAGATGGAGAGAGAGTGACAAAACCCTGACAACATCATCTGAGCCTTTGGAAACAGTCGCACTGGAATTTGATGAAGTCCCAGACTTCCTAGTTATGTAGCAAAGGGAATTTGAATTGGGTTTTGGTCTCTCACCTAATAAATATAGTAGCCACCCCTGCTTCCCCAGGGAGCTATTAGTACTTGTATAACCTGCATTATTCTCCTTTCTTGGCCTTGCCCATGGCACTCATGGCAGATTGCATTCTGGCTCCCAATTCCTTACTCCGTCCTGTTAATAGGATTATACAACCACACCAGTGTGACTTGGCAGGCTCTCCTGTTAGAGTAGGCCAAGTATACCGCCCTGTACCATTAATGGTGCTTTGCTATGTGACTTGTTTTGGCCCAATAGGAACTCAGCGGAAGTGATGCCAACAGACGCTTTAAATATGCTTGTGTGGTTTGCATTGGCTTCTTGCTCTCCTGTTAGTTGTTGTGAGAACATGGCTGGTAGCTGCTGGTCTCAAAAGGCAGAGTTAGGTGGAGCAGTGCTGAAACCAACCTGCCTCCTGGAGCCAAGTTCAGCTGAGGAAAAATGAGTTATTATTACTGGAAGCTAGCCAGACTTGGGGATTGTTTGTTAGGCAGCAGTCTTGGTGGAGACCTGACTGATACAAGGCATGAGCCAGGGGAGCCAACAATATTAACTAGATTCCCTGCTTCCCTCCCCCCTTTCCTCGGACCTCTGTTTTCCCATAACACTTGGTACAGGTGTCTCTTCTGGTACCCATTATGGTGTATGGGGTCAGTTGTGTCTCTGTCCAGCTCTCTGGATAGCCCGAGAGATCCCCAAGGGCCTGGCACGGTGCCTAGCACATTGCAGATGCTTACCTGCACTCCAGCGACGACTGACTGACAAGCTGAATGTGTGGCTCAGTTACTCCTTTTGCTTGTTGATGAGGCTGGGGGCTGGGGTCCCCCTCCTCTGCAACATCTTTATTTACTTCCACATAAAGGCCAACCTTGAAGGGAGAAGCAAAACAGCAGTGAGCACCGATATTCGATTCTGAACATAAAATGTGGTGCCACGTTTTAACCGCTTGGGCAAGTTACTTAACCCTTCTCGAATATCAGTTTCCTTATCTATAAGTTAGCTCTACCTCACAGGAGTGTAGTGAGGAGTAAGTAACAATCAACAATAGCAAATATTAATAGTAATAACGAACATCCACAGCTCTTACTATGAGCCAAGCGCCTTACACACATTATCTCTTTTAACTCGGGACCCAGGCAGTCCAGCTTCCGTCATTGTTCGCAAACCCCAAACGTACAAGTACCTCGCACGGCAGTAACAGATTTCTCAGAAACAAGACCCGCACGCCGGCCACTAAAGGCTATTTTCAAATATCCCAATGTAATATCACAAAGGTTTAATCAAGTCATATCTGTGTGATGAAAAACATGGGTTTGAAAAATGGTGCCTGTGATGTATCCGGCTGTCGTAATGATGGAGCTGAATCTCCCGCACAGCCGATCCGATTGTCTCTAGAAATCATCACTCATGAAGGCATTGGGAGAAAAATGAATCGACCCCAGAGGCCACATGGAGAGGCAGCTCCCGGGTGAGCCGCTCTAGGACAGAGCAGAACTAGGCCCCAGGCAGCCGGGGAAGCCAAAGAGAATTATATTTAACATGAAACATAAACACAGTCTCAAAGGCGGGCGGTGCGGAAAAATATAAATTTGATCATTGTCTGGTGAGTCAGAAATCCAGTGGCCTTCGAATCCACATCCACACACTTTGAACTCCGCAGCACCGCAGATGATGAAACAGAGTTCTTCATTAAAGAATGCTTGTAAGAGCGGGGAAATGTTCATGGTCATGTATCTGGGCTGGGGCGGCCGGGGAACAGAGGGCGGTCACATGGGAGCGGAGAGCCATGGGGGTTCGTTTCTGTGAACGCGGCCACATGATGCGCTCAGGGCCTTCGCAGAACAGCCGCCAACCTATCACGAGTCACTCTGCAGTGGGCGGCTGCCTGTCTAGCTGAGCCTCAGATGATCAAGCCTCGGCTTCGGGTACTTGGATTCCCCCTTCTTCTGAGGGCTTCAGAGTTTTCCAGAAGCAGCCTATTTATATGTGGATTGAGCAGGAAGCAAAGGTGGCCTACCTCCAAGGAGGCATTGGGTCCTTGGCCCAAATGTCCAGGGGCGGCAGGTCCCCACTGCTCAGCCAAGCCTAGAGAGAAGCTTCGTGAACGTGCAAGCTCTGCTAGAGCCTGCCCGATCACGGCTTCCGGGCTGCTACTTGGTCTGCAAAGGATGGGGCTTGGTCTCCATCTCCCCAGGGCTGCCACACAGGCGGGTCAGAAAGAGTGGCCTCCTCACGGTGCTTCCCCGCAGTCCGGGTGGGGAGGCAGGGAGTCCGGCCGCCTCATCCAGAGAGCTCAGTCAGGGAACAGTAATCGAGCACATGCCACGAATTAGTTACCGTAGTGCGCAACGTCAGTGTCCCTTACATAGATTTTGACTTTTTTTTTCCCCCCTTTGCCTGTCCCCACGCCTACAGTGGGCTTTCTCCAGCCAGCACTGGGGGCTCTTTGGCTGGAGCCATCCTGCCTGCCCATCGCCCCTGCTCCCCCAGACCCAAGGCCTACCTTAGCCAAAGACTGGCAGCGAGGGAGTGTGCAGGCCTGGCTCCCTCGCCTTCTGGATGCTCTGAGGGGTGCGTCAAGCTCCAGAGACCCCTGCAGGAGCAGGCTGACGCATCCTCTGCCGGAAGCCTTGCAGGAAGTCACATCTTACTGGGCAACTCCCTTTCCTGTCTTGCCTTCCCCGCTCCCTCTCTGTCTGACCTCCCCTGGGAGTGTGGGCCCTTAGTCAGTCGCTTACTCATGAATCCTCATCTCAGAAAGTGCTTCTGGGGGATCTTGGTCTAAACCACTCTCCCTTCTGGACAAGAAAAATGGGGCAAGGTCCCTGCCTTCATGACGGCCTTGTGCCTGGACACGTTTTCAGTGCAGACAGTGGACTCCAAAGTGGGTGTGACGGCGAGGTGGCCCACTGCCGCATGACAAGGACTGTTCAGTGTGCCTGAGGAAAGTTGTGTTCGTCTCCCTCTTTAATATGTTCTATTTCTGCGCCTGCTTCGTCACGAAGATCATGCTAGGACGTGGCAGAAATAAAAATGCAACCTTTTGAACCCAGTTGTGGTGTGAGGGCTCAATGTGTTCCTATCGACAGGGAACTGAGATCAAAAAGTTTGAACGGCAGAGGTGGCCGGCCTGGTGGCACTGGAGGCCCCACGGGGCCATGTCCCAGCCGGGGAAGATAGCGAGTGCGGTGATGAAGGCACCTTCGAGTCCTTTCCATTCCAAACGGGCCCCGCCTCTCCGGCCTCCCCCACCAGCTTTCTCTTTTTGCCCCTTCATCATTTCTGCGGCTTTTCTTTGGGCCTTCTCCAAGTTCCACAGACCTGGCATTAATCGTAAGGCCCAATATTCCTATAATTGCAGGGTAAGTATTTTTGTGCGGATCACAAGCCTGACCTCCTTTGTTATTTAGTTTGAGCTGGATTCTCCGTGGACAGAGGGAGAGGCACGAAATGAGTAAATATTTAATTCAGGAGAAGCCTGTGGCTTGAAAATGTTTTCCCATTTGCTCAAGCCCGGCCCACAGATGGAAGCTGCTTTCTGGGCAGCTCTGGGTTGTGCCCCGCGAGGAAGGCCCGGCCTGCCCCGGAACTCGGCGCTCCTCCCGGCAACGCTGCGAAGAGGACTTGGAGTGCAGGGGCCCTGGGAGCCCAGGAAATGGCCGCACAGCAAATTGGAATCAATGAACAGGAATAAATGCCTCGACATTTGCAGGTACTCTTCGCAGCCACATTAGCCATGCTGCATCAGTAGTTCCTGAAAATTCCATCTGCCGGGGGGAGTCCTGGGCCAGGGAGGAGGAGGCTGCCTCGGGATGGGGCAGGGGCTGGGGTTGAGGACTGAGGTGGGAGAGGGTGGAGGAGGGCAGGTGGCAGACAGGAGGCTCACCGGGCAGGCGAGGGTGTCCGGAACCTGGAAGCGGGATCTGGGTGGTGAGGCAAGTCGTGGGCATCAGAGAGGTGGGGGGTGTGCCAGAAGGAGGTGATATTCAGAGGCGACTGGTGTTTGGGAAAACTTACTCTGCCCCTGGACTTCGAGGCCGTGGGCAGTCACCTTCATCCAGATGTGCTCAGTGGGTGAGTTTCCCAGCCGCTGCGTCCTCCAGGTGACCAGTGCCTCCAACTGGAGGGAGTGTGAGCTGGCTGGGGCTCCGGTGTGCTCTGTCATCATGGGGCAGAGATGCTGTTTTCTAAAATCATGTGGTTCACCTGGCCCCCAATGGACACCTTAGCATTAGGCTACAAAAAGTAGAAATGAACAAGACCGAGAAAGCGCTATGTAACCAAAGGTATGACTACCGTTGCAATTTACAGGCTGCATGAACACAGTAAGTTCCCAGATGTCAGAGAGCTTGTTTTAAATGACTTCTGTTAGTTTCCAGATAGGGAAGGAAGCTTGGAAATACTATTAAATGATAGCAATGATGATAAAGATATTTGAGTGCTTACAATATATGAAGTGATTTAAAGAACTTTACGTGAGGTCCTTATTCCATAGGATTATCTCCAAGCAAAAATGCCTCAATTTGTATAGCTTTATACTTGCACAAATTCCAAGAAGTGAGGATTTAGCCATCTGTCCATCCATCCATCCATCTGTCCATCCATCCATCCATCCATCCATCCATCCATCCATCCATCCATCCATTCTTGCATTTAACCAACCTTCCATCCATCCATCCATCCATTTATCCATGGAACATGGGCCAGACTCCAAGCAAACCACAGGAGATGCACAGAAGAATAAGACATTCTTGCAATCAAAGGGTTCAGGGTCTAGTGGAACAACTTTGAATTATGCCTTCAATTCAAACCCAAGTAAATTGTGGTTGAATACGGGAATTATGTGCTTAAACTTAACACGGTGCTGAGTGCCCCACTGCATGAAAGAAGACCTCAGAGGAAAATGACTCCAGGTAAGAAGCGCCACTCTGTTGCTTGATTTCCTCTCCCTGAATTTCTGCTTTTTCCCCAGCGATATTTATCTGTGTCTCCATGACGGTGCCTGGACCCCAAGAGTTCACCATTCCTCTTTTTCTCCAGCCCTACTGTGGACACAGATCTTTCTCTTTCCCTGTTGGCCAAGTGGGCAGACTGCCACAAAAGCTAAGGAAGAAAAAAAGATATCCTAAAATGTAAATGTTTTAGAAGGCATAAAACTATCTGCTTCTGAAGTAAGAATTCCATATCTCAAGAATTCTAGTAAGATACTCTGAGCTTCTCAACACACAGCATCTCCTTATTCTAAGGTCATATCACTCTAGGTGCTTTCTGGGTGGTCGTTGCCTACAGGTGAGCTGCCTGCCTGCCTTCCCTTCCAGCTCCTGGTCTTCTTGTCCTTATAGTCTCTTGGTTTAGTCACATGTATCAGTCAGCTCTTGCTGTGTAAGAAGCAGTCACGCAATCTCTGTGACATGATCATAAGCATTTAGTTCTCTTCCATATGTGAGTTGGCTGGGGTGGCTCTCTTCATCTGGACTGGATCACCTGGGCTGAACTCAAAGCTACAGATTGGGTCTGGATTTACTCTATGTTTCTTGGACCTTGGAAGATCTGGGGGCATGTTCTTCCAATGGCAAGAGCAGAGGCAAGAAAGCAAGCAGAAACATGCGAGGCATCTGAAGGTCTAAGCTCAGAACTGACACGCTGTTACATCCAGCTGGAGTCCTTTGACCAAAGCAAGTCATGTGGCCGAGCCCAAGTCCAAGGTCAAGTTAGGGGAAGTAGACTGGACTGTGAAGTTACATGACAAAGGCTATGGATTCAAGGGAAGGGGAAGAACTGGTTCCAGCAATTTAGTTTACCACAAGGGGAACTAGAACACTTCCAAAGTGTCCCCTGAAACTAATAAAGCACTATATGTTAACTGACTTGAATTTAAATAAAAAAAGAAATTTTCCAAAGTGAGTATATAGTATAGATTTTTCTAATCCTCACAACAAGCCCAAGGACAGGTGATTTAGTGTGTCCTGTTTTACTTTATTATTATTATTTTTTATTTTTCATCTTTATCGAGGTATAATGGGCATACAAGACTGTAAGATGTTTCAAGTGCACAACGTGATGATTTGATAGAAACATTGTGAAGGGGCTCTCCCCATCGGGTTAATTAACTAGTATGTCAACTTGAAAGTCAGCCACTGAGGTGTAAAGTAACTAAGTGATTTGGCCAAAGTCCCCCAGCCCATCTGTGTGGCTGCGTGGCTGTCTTTCCTCGGCACGGCATCATGATCCAGGAGTAAGACCCTTACCCATGGAGCTTCATTCTGAACAGATCCAGACCCTGTTTTCCCATTTCAAATGGCCTCACCCCCATGGGCATTTCCAATTTTCAGCCTGGGAGTGGACTGGCTTCTGGTCTCATTTACAAACCTGAGCTGATTAACTTCTGCCGAACCCAAAGAGAGCATGGCCATTCAGGGCTTGGTTGCTTTGCTTTTTTCTCTCCTGTAGAATTTTGTGTAGCTCCCCCAAGAGGAATGGTTTGCAAAGCTCCAACATTATTATCCATAATGTATAAAGCCCTCAAACATATATTGATTGACATTAATACAACATGTAGTAAAATGGAGGGTCATTCTCTCACATGGGTGGGAATGTTCTGGGTATAAATTACCTTTATAACTATCAGGCGGCAAATGCCTGTTAACATTACAGTGGCCTTTCATCAGCCTGCAGGCTGTGTAACTTGGAGTCTTCACTTCTATTTGAGGCCTTTTTGTTTTATCTACATGTTTTGTATAAAACACCGCCTTTTAAGTTTATTTTTACTTGTTTATTAGTGAGGGGAAAACAGCTTTTAGCACCAGCTTTGGATCGTCAATGAGTGATTGTACTGTTATATATAGGAGAAGTAGTGCACCTTCCTTGGAAAATACTGGTTTCTATTTTCATCATACTATACATGCATATATTTTATTTATTTTTCTTTTTTTTTTAAAGATTTTATTTATTTATTTGAGACAGAGAGAATGAGAGAGAGAGAGCACATGAGAGGGGGGAGGGTCAGAGGCAGAAGCAGGCTCCCGCCGAGCAGGGAGCCCGATGTGGGACTCGATCCAGGGACTCCAGGATCATGACCTGAGCTGAAGGCAGTCGCTTAACCAACTGAGCCATCCAGGCGCCCCTATACATGCATATATTTTAAACGGTGAAATGCCTGTTCAAGGCCCCTGCATCTCAAGATCCTTAATTTAATCATATCTGCAAAGTCCTTTCTGCCCCATGAGGTAATATTCACAGGTTTTCGGATTACACCGCAGACATTTGGAGGGGGTGGGTGGGGGACTGTTATTTAGCCTACCACAGACATTAGCAAATGTGATGCAGTTTGAAACCTGAGACCAAGATGGCAGTGTGAGCTATCTTGCTGGTAAGGCCATGTGGGTCGGAAAACAGACCCAGCCAATAGCCTGGCAAACATCAGACTTGTGAGTGGGGCCATCTTGGACCATCCAGCCTCAGCTAAGCTACCAGATGACTGCAACTGCGTAAGTGACCGTAGGCAAGACCAATGGAATCCCCCAGATGCGCCCAGCCCAACTTGTTGATCCACAAAGTTGTGACCATGTTAAGTGGTGGTTGTTTTAAGCCACAAACTTTTTGAATGGTTTGTTACACAATAGTAGATAACTA